CAAATACACACTTATATGTGTGTGTGCGCACGCTGTATATAACACATTATACAATAATTTAGTGCTTTTCCCCTGCTTTCACCGCAAAGGTGTGATCCTTTTTTTCTCTCCCTTATCTTAGCCGGTAATGCAGTGACGCACGCGACAGAAATTATCAATAGAATATATGCGGTCTAAGGACGGCAAAGTTATTATAATCCCTACCATAGTAGCGGACTTGCATCTACGCCGTCCTATTTTGGAAATCTCGCGTGCCTCCTCACCCCTGTGCAGTGTCACAAACTATTTCCATTATTCTATTTCTGTAAATAATGCAATTAAACACCAAAATCTCATCATGCAGGGACATTTAATCTACCATAATGAGACAGTTTGCATTCATGCAAGATAAAACAAAAAAGAAGAAAAATCCGAATGTCAATGATAATGATGTTTACCAAACTGGAATAACATGTCTGCTTTTGTTTAAAATCATGCATCAAACAAACTGCAGACGAAACTGTGATATAGTTGTTTTTACCAACCGTTTCATTTTGCGGTCAAATGAGCGGATATGTTTGAATGTTATACACCATAATCCAGCTCGACTCTTTGCTGGAATAAGAATTTTTATACATTTTACATTACTCCCATCTCCAATCTCAAAAAATTTAATTCTTAACAGAAACAATTTAAATAAAAGAGAAAATGTTCTGACAGGATTATTCACAAACTAAATGGGGTATGTACTGCAGAGTCTACAACGGTCAAGTTCAGGAAAGTGAATGCTGGTGTGCTCTATTTGTGCTCTGTTTGAAGATAGTATTCTGTACAGAAAGATGATCTCTCCTCCTGGGTTAAACCGTTAAGAGACACAGTCCACAGCGACGCCAGGGGGCTTAGTGGCAAAATGAAATTGGCGTTTTTGCCCAAAACGGAGAAAGGCGACAGAATATTGGTGTCCAGTGCCTACGTAACACTTGACTTCAACCCTGTGTTGGTTTCTCTGTAATGAGTGACGATGTAACTCGTGTTAAGACGCATGCACAGTTCGTACCCATCAATCAAGAAAATTCATTAGAGTTCCAAAACTTTTGTAGTCATTCTCCAGAGCTCTCGAAATTTACTAAACAAGCATTTATAAGAAGTTTGAAATCAGTGTTAACTTTAAAGCATGCGGAATTTGTTATCAGCTCATAGAAACACCGGAGTGGTGGCTAACTGTCCTTTGAATCGTGCAAAGAAACGTAGCATCATTCACTGCCAATGGATCATACCGACTTGGATAACGTTTAAAATGTGACTGTCCATTGGTTGGTGCATGGATGAGATTTTGTGAGCGTGGTGGTGAATCAGGATCGGTGTTTTCTTCATCAAAGTCGGTACCTTCAAAGTCTGACGTCGATCCAGGCCTACTTGGTGGTTAACATCTTGCAGACATAGGACATTCTACTCGTGCAGGGAACATCATTCCATCCTGTACCGGATCGCATGCAGACGCAGTCCTGACGGTTTCCGCTATTGTCTGGTTGTCTTGACGCCCAATTAGAGTACGAAAGGTCCGACCCATCCGTCCAGACGAATGTCCCCTCACGTTTCTCGTCATTTAAGCCGTTCCACATCTCTCTTGAGAGCGTGCCAACGGATGTCTTCAATATCATATACACCAATTCTTCCTCAGCTTTACTAGTAAGGGACACCAGGTGGCCCTCCCCCAGTTGAACGTACCGCTGGCAGTTTTTTTCAGCTTCCCTGAATGTCTTGGTAGCCCCAAAGAAGCGGTAGCAATGACCATCGTAGAAGGTCCACAGCGGTGGACACTTCGGGCAGTTTGGCTTACATCCTGCCCCAGAGACTGAGGCGAAACCAACCAGGAAGATGATAAACACGATACACAGAAAACCCATATTGCTTGCAACGAATAGTTATATCAGTCAGCCCCGTGAGACTCGAAGTCCAATTTCAAAGTGGGGCTACAAATGACATTTCATTTAAATACCCTCGTTTCGTTTCAGAAAAGAGTGAGAACTTCATTAGCGACAATGACTGAATGATTGACCAATGGCTGAAGCGCGTGATCTTTCTACCACAATACTTCCATTTTTATTGGGCTACATCTGTTTCATCCTATGTTCATTTTTCTGTGTCTGTTTGTGGGTTTCTTTCTGCATTCAATCGGGACATTGGACAATACAGAACAGCAGGTCTCCGATTGGATAAACGATCCGATAGTGAAATCCTGTGTTTGTCCTATAGGAGCTCTCCGAATGTACGTAAATATATTGATGGTCCGCAGTGAAACTTGGTTTATCGACAGACCCTACCAATTTTTGTGGGCAGTCGTAGAACGAAACGATATGTTATGTTATTGCTGGTATTGCTGATTCAATAACAAATCAGTCCTTTGAGCTGACTATGGGATGATGATTATAATTTAGATTTTTTTTCATTCTGCTACAATAACCCTCACCCCAAGATGTATCTTGACCTTTTAATATTTGTTTTTGAGGGATGCATTGTGTGGACCTGTAAAAGAAAGTCTTTGAATCTTAGACATTATAGAGTACCTGTAAGTAAAACATGTTTTCTCTGAGTTTATCTGTTTAAATAAGTATGGAAGCATCCAAATCCAAACATTGGCTACGAGCATTGTTTGGCATGTACAATTGACTGTCTTTAAGTGAAAGTCTTTTCTTAAGAAGTCACTATTAAGCTAGGTATCCAAGGCAAAAACATTCAAGCTAACTCGGGTGGGACTCAAACCCACAGCCTACTATACTTACTGGTCCAGACGTCATATAAACCTGACCACCTAGCTTCCCCGGGTCGATTGGCAGGTCCAAGTCATATATAGCAGACAAAGGCTAGACATTTATTTCAAAGTTTTGAACATAAATCCGATCGTACAAAATATATTCAAGGAATTTTAGTCCATGTTTCTTACATAAAATACAAATAAATACTCTTGATAACTTCTTTTCCCCCTCTGTTTTACCTTCATCTTTGTTGTTCACTTTGTTTATTTCTTTTTCTTTTCGATTGTTTTCTGGTAATAAACCGGTATGCGTAAGTGGTAATTTGTAAAGGCCGAGTTTATCACTCTTGAGTTGGTGATTGTCCTTACAAGACAAAGACCTATGCAGTATACGGTCAAGGTCCTCTTTCTTCATAATATGGAAATGTGACCTTTTGTGATGGGGAAAACTATCTTCAGGCAACGCATTATCGACAGATGACACATCTTGTAATAGAAAGATCAAGAGAGACGAAAATAACAAATGGGACCAAACATATGCACAACTGGCTGTCGCTCTTATTCTTCAATTTTAAATCAGAAACTGTTGCCTGCCATCTGCTATCCATCCAGATAATAGACCTGCCTCCATGACACAAAAAGTCAATTTAATTTTGTAGCTTCCATGAAAGCAGAGCCTTGGCAAAATCGATGTTAAATTGGAGAGGAGTTTACTGAGTTAAATAATACAGGTGTTCTCTTGATTGGGGAATTATCTGGTCTGTGAGAGGCTGTCGATTTCTGGATGCTGATGATAACGATATTTGGTTTTAATTGAAACATAAGATTCTCCCAACTAAGGACAAGTTAAAGCTTTATGGTTTAATAGATGAGGAGAATTGTTATTTATGTCGCCGAGGGAGGGAGAATGTGTACCATCTTTTCGTTGTTTGTCCCTATAATATTGAAGCCTGGTTATTTGTAGAAAAATGATTCGTAATTATTTGAAAGATGTTAGTTTCTATTTGACAGACAAGATGAGAATTTTGTGTAAGGGTATTAAGAATAGGTTATGTTTATTTCTTATTGGACGTTGGAACAGAGTGATTTGTAAAGTAAGGTGTACATATGTTTTTTTTTTATAAGGGCAGTGTGCCTCCACGTGATATTCTGCAAGTATAGAAATCAAGCCTGAAGAAATTTATTTTTCGAGAACATACAAGACTAAATGAAAATGTCTTCTGTTCAATTTATGCAAAACATTCGGTACTCTGCTATGTCCAAAATAAAAAGATTCACTTTTGTTTCTAAATTATGGGAAACCAATAGCCTTTTAATGGTACATTTTTATTTTAAAAAACATGTACTTAATTATCTGGGGTTTTTTATTAGTAAAGGAAATGTAATAACCCTGTTTATTTAGCTGCACCTTTAGCTGTAAATTTTGAGTGATTGAATAAATGGAGCTGTATGGCTCCACTTTCACGAAAAAAATAATAATACAGGTGTTCTGCAAAACTGTTATGAATGTTAAAGCGGAAAATGTGACGAGTTCGATTTTAATAATGCTTTGTTATTGGAGGCTGCGAGTGGATGTATCTATATACTTATGTTTTCTGATGAGGGGTTTGGGTTTTCGTCTGCTTGTAGCTTTTTGTTTTTCAGTGATTTTGTTCAATCTGCACATTTAGGAAAAAGAAGCCGGCTTTCCTGTTACATTTTGGCTAAAAACTTTCCGTTACAGTCCCCCTTTAACAAATATGCCACATCGAGCAGAATTCTTGAAATTTTTTTCCTTTGCCTTCATTTCTCCCAAAGTGTCTCGTGTATTGACACTGTAGTAGCATGCTGACGTTTCGTTAAGTTCTGAGTGTGTAGTACCACCCCCTGATCCGACTACCCGTCGCTCCTAATAAGTGAAGTCTGTGCAGCAAATTAGCCTGCAAGAACTGTGATGCTAATATATTTTATTATGAGGCAAACTTATAGGTAGGGCTAGTCAGCGTCACGAAAATTTGCAAGCAGAAAGCTCGAACAGGCCTCGCTTCTAAGTTTGCCTACACACACGATAACATATAAGTATCACAGCGATGGGTAGTCGGATCGGGTGGTAGTACAGACTTTCAGGGGCTGCTCTCGAAATGAAATGTTTGTGCCCAGTTAATGAAATTACATCTGATACCAACATCGGCCTAAAGTACAGTATGGTATTCAAAAGAGGCAGTGAACAGAAATTATTCAATTTCGTCAGTGATATATATTTGTATAAAAATCGTTGGCCCTTCGCCTAAATAACAAGAGAAAGTCAAATGACTGGAGTTATGTAGTTCATAATGCCTGATGATTTTTTTCAGTCTATTCTTTCTTAGTTTTGAAACCCAACAAAAAAGACATCCAACTAACTGCTAGTTGAAACCATCTTAACGATGTACTCTATGACGATATTAAATTATTAAATCCGTAAAATGAATGACAAAAGAATTTGTTTTCCATGTCAACACCATTCCAGTGATCTGAAAGTGGGATCTTGTGGTGTTATTTCGAAATTGGAATCAACACTTGGGGCGGGTAGACAGTGCCGTTGAAAGAGAAATTCCCCCGGTGGAATGCTTGAACATTGGGAAACAAAGGGGGGCGGTTCATGCAACAGGGAATGAAGTTGTGCTACTCAGTAAGTTTAGTGAAATGAAACCTTCCATGATCGAAAGATATGGCCTTCAGGCAATCAGTTTTTAAAGACCAAGCTGAAAAATACCTGCTTCCTTGTATCAGCGCAAGGAAATGAGACACTTTTTTGAAAGATAAATGGGCCGTGCGACAAACGCTTTGCCTCAGGTATTGAATATTTGACTATGATTTAAAGTAAGTGGTTGTACTGTAAAATGCATATTTATGATGGACATATTGAAGCCTTAGGACACTGGGATTTTCCCCACAAAACTGCCGATAAATGCTAAGCCCCCTCAACATATGTTTCCCAGAAAACGAGAGTTAAATTTCATAACACAAAACATGTTAACAACAACCGATGTTCGCCATCTGTTAGACTGTAGGTTTTAATCTCAATCCAGATTAATTGAACCATATTATCCAGTCTGATGTAATCGTTGGCCGTTCATCCCATCGACTTTTCTCGTCTCTTTGGGATTTTCAACACTAATCGAGCACGTTATTCATATGTTGGACTAGAAAAGCTTTGGTCTTTGAAATCTTTGGATCGCAGTACACTGAAATAAGTGCTAACAAAGATCCATTCCAACACTTTTCAGCGCTGTTGTTATTTTGGTGTGATTTTAAACATGTTGGTGTTACCTTCAAAACTCTCCAGTGCATTCTACCATTTACAGGTGTATAAAGTAATAGCAGCGGTTCTAAAGTAGCACATCTTGGTGTGGTCAGCTGATAACACCAAAAGTGTTGTTTTAACACCGGAATTTCCCGCACCTAGCAAACTTGTTCCTTTACTGAAAATGGTTTAATCCCCCCACGCACACACACCCAAAAACAAGAGAATGAAGCAAGACAAGAACGTAAACGAATTTCTTGCCGCAGTTACTACTGTATGAAAGGTATTAAAAGGGCTTTCTTTCAAGTCTTCTTCACCACCCAGTTTGCTAAAGAAAAGTCAGGGAAAAGAACCTTAAAATACATGTATTGTAAAAACAGTAGGTTTGTTAGTAATGCATAGGTATGTGTACCATTTAAGCTTCCAGCAACGTGGCTGATTGACTTTACCCCTTCACAAAAACTTTCTATCGGATGAAAAGATCTCTAAAATCACTCCCAATTCGCCTGACTGCTGGAAGAAAGAAAGATTCAGTGTGTGTGACGGGGATGTAGCACACCTCATCGGACAATTCCAACGCCCAACGTCTGCATGATACGGGCACTGCCCTCTCACTGTAGCTTGAAAGTAATTTAATTGGAAGTAGTTACCAATCCCGAAAGCTGTTTGGCTACTTTATCCATTTTTATGAAAATGTGATTTAAATGAGTTTAACGGTCCAACATTAACCGAGTATTTTCCATTGAGGTTCATGAATGGCGGACTCGCTTGCTGTCAGCGTCGAGGCGATCGCAAGACATGGTATTATATGCATCTACCTTATATGCATAAAACCTTATATCTATAGCGCCCTCCATAATATCCTGTTGGAATGGTCAAAATGGGACCTACATCTGGTAACGTCATCTCTTGTAAATGTTGATCATTTGTAACTGGTAATTCTAGAGTGAGCCTAATATAAACAATTGTTTTCTTGTTTATGTACGCACGTTATTTACGATAGGATAATATAGTGATTCTTACCCTTTTTCTCCTTCGGAAGCGCGGGTGAAATCCTTCTTTTTTTTCCTTTTTCCTTTTTTCTCAAGTGGTTATTCAGTGGCTCATGCGGACAGAAATATTCAATAAAAACAGGCGTTCTGAAGACGGCACATTACGGTAATTTATCATCATCCACATACATGTATATGCAACTAACATCTACCCCATGGTTCTTTACACGGTTAGGAAGATCTTCACCTCTTTGAAGTGTCACAAACTATTTCTGTTTCTGTAAATAATGCAATTAAACACAATAATTGCGTCAAGCAGAGAATTTTATTTCAACGACAGTTATGCAATTTGAATTCGTGTAAGGTAGTAAGATAAAACAATCAAAGGGAAATGCAAATGTTAATAATATTGAAATTTAATTGGGAATATATTTCATTATAATCAATTGTCTACATTAGTTTTGAATTTTGGCTTCACATAATCTTTAAAGATTTTTATTTTTATTTCATGATCCAAAGTAATGCCCCACTCTCGTTGGGATAGGGTACTCTTTGCGTAATGGTGTTCAATTTGTTTGTATGAGATTTATCATTTTTTGACGAAGACATTTCTGCCCATCACCAATTAACCAGTGCTTAAATTTCAAAAAGTGAACAGAAAAAAAAATAAAATACCAGAAAAACGATTTTGACCGGATTACTCAAAAACTGAATAAGGTAATTAATTGCAGTCCTCGTAGAGATTAAAGTGGTCAAATGTTCTTGAAAATGAAAGAGGGTGAGCTCTGCAGTGTTCGAAGACAGTATTCTGTAAATAATGATAATCTCTCCTTCTGGATTTAGCCGTAATGAAACAGTCCACCGAGGCCAAGGACCTTAGTGTAAAATGGAATGGATTCTGTTGCACAAAGCGGAGAAACGCTACAGAACATTAGTGCCCGGTGCCTACTGAACACTAAGCCCGACCCTGTTTCGTTCTTTCTACGATCACAGAAAATGTAATTGGTACCAAGACGCACAGTTCGTAACCATCGAAGGAGTTCTGAAACCTTTGTAGTCATTCTTCATGGCTCTCTAAATTTACTAAGCATGCATCTAGGAGGTTTAAATTAATGGCAAATTTAAAGCAAACACGACTTGATATTAGGTCATAGAAACACTTGAGTCGTGTCTAACCATCTTTTGAATCGTGCAGACCTGCGTTGTACCATTCAGTGCCGAAAAATCATACCGACTTGTGATAACGTTACAAATGTTACTGTTTATGGTTTGTGGAGTGGTGAATTAGGATCAGTGTGTTCATCATGGTCCGTGGTAACTGAAGCTTCGCGTCAATCAAGGTCTACTTGGTACTTAGCATCTTGCAGATGTACGGCATTCTGGTGGTGCAGGAGACGTCATTCCATCCTGAACCGGATCGCATGCAGACGCAATCAGTGCTGCTTCCGCTTCTGCTTGGTTGGTTTGTCGCCCAATTAGTGTAGCTGATCTCCGTGCCGTCCGTCCAGATAAATGTCCCCTCTCTGGCCTGGTCGGTCATGCCGGTCCAGATGTCCTTAGAGACCGTTCCGAGGGCTGACTCCAACACCATGTACATCAGCTCCTCCTCACCTGCGCTGGTAATGGACACCAGGTGGCCCTGCCCCAGTTGAACGTACCCCTGGCAGTCTTTTTCAGCTTCATTGAAGTTCTTGGCAGCCCCGGAGAATCGGTAGCAATGACCGTTGTAGAAGGTCCACAGCGGTGGACACTTCGGGCAGTTTGGCTTACATCCTGCCCCAGAGACTGAGGCGAAACCAACCAGGAAGACAGCAAACGCAATACTCAGGAATGTCATGATGCTTGTAACGGATAGTTACATTAGTCAGATCAGCCCCGTGAGATTCGAAATGAAATTTCAGTGTGAGGCAACAGATGAAATTGCATTGCTTATAAATCCTCTGTGATTTCATTTCAGATGGGAATGGGCACCTCATTTGGCACATACATTATGTGGAGCGATGCGATTGGCCAATAAATGAATTGCATGACCCTTTTATCATTCTGCTTTGATTCTGTTGGTTTAGATTTGTGTTATATCTATTTCATTCTTAATTCCTTGTTCAGTTTTCCGTATCTGCTTCTGAGGTTGTCAGCCCATATTTGGTTGGGAGAATGGACAACACAGAACGAGTCCCTGATTAGATACAGGTCCTGGTTGCAAAATCCAATAAGTTTTCTAGGAGCCCTCCCGGCGAATGCGCGGAAATGTACTTGTATATGGGTCTGTTTGGTGTCCTTGCTTGTTAACCTCTGAACAAACAATGTTCACCTAATACGAAGGGTTCGACGACATTTCAGGTCCGGACAAAGCTTCCCGCAAAATAAAAGATTCATTTTGGGGTGAGGGTTGTTGCTGCAGAATGAAGAGCTTATAAAAATCGTCATCCAAACTCCAGCTTTAAACACTTATCAAGATGGGGGAAATATCTGCGCTTTCAGGAGCCTCCTTACCGCAGTAATAGGGAATGCACACAATAAATACACATATATGTGTTTTTTCTTCATTAATTCAACAACACCAGCAATAACGAAACAGGTCATTTCTTCCTAAGACCGCTGACAAAAACGGGTCATATCTAGCGCTGGGCTTTATTTTATTGCATAATATCAAGGAGAGGGAATTGTATTTTGTCTTGTTCCAACAAAACTGGAAGCACTTACTACTAACGACAAGCGATTGACCACTCAAGACAGAGAAATATCCCATTTCCTCTTTGTATTATCACCGCTCTGGAAAAACCCAAACATTAAAAAAGTGACTCACACTACTGTTGTTTTTTTTTTCTTTCTGTCGCTTCCCACTACGCAACGGCTAATACAACTGAGGATAACAGGCCGACAACCAAGCGCATGTACCGAGAAACATTCCTTGTCCAACAATGCAATACATTTAAAGAGCCATTTTTCAATGTCAGTTGTCCGTCAAAACTGACGACAACTTTTCTTTTATGTTTGAATAGTGCTTTGCAAAGCATGCTGCGCTTTGCAAACATTTTTCTGCTGACCCATAAATAATAATGTAGGATACTGTAGGGAAAACTTGTTGCAGGGAACTTGTTATTTTATTGAATACCAAAGATTACTTCAGCCACTAGATTTGGGTTAGTGTGTAAGTTTACTACATCATCTTTTATTTTTCTTCACTATGGGGCGTTTGGTAATGGACGGCTCACGTGGCCACCCAATCCGACTACCTACCGTTACTTATATGTGGGGCTTGCACATCAAATACACCACGCTATAAGCTGGTTGGTATCACTGGATCGTAGCATGGACTACGTTCGGCACACTTGTAAGCATGGCATGAAAGCGCACCTACGTGAAACACAACAGAAAGCCACTGCTATGGTGCGTAAGCTAAAACTGGTCTAGCTGACAAGTGTGCCAAACGTAGTCCATGCTACGATCCTACGACACCAACCTGCTTACAGCATGGCTTAAAGTTGGATGCGCACTTGGGGGGGGGGGAATTTCAAGTCTAACTTTTATAAAAATAAATACTCGCTTTTGACACTTCTGTTATTTTTCCATCTTTCTGTTTAATTTTTCCTTGTTTAATTTTTTTAAAATCTTATTTGCTGATAACACTTTGGTATGTATAGGTGGTAACCTGAAAACTTAGGCTAATATTCGGAGTTTACAACTCTTGAATTGGTGGGTGTCAAAGATACGCACGTTGTGTATGGTCCAAGTCTTGATTCTTCTTACTTAGACAAACACATCGTCCTTCAAATTTGGAAATGTGACTTTTCATGATGGGAACACACAGGCTTCCGGCAACGAATTATTATGCGTCAGGCTTCGGGTGATTGCCAGCTGATACAGCATGTTATAGAAATAACAAAAGGAAGGAAATTACCAAAATAAAGGGACAAAGCCTGTTTACAACAAGCTGTTGCTTCTATTCTTACAAATCAGAAACTGTTGCTGACCATCTGGTATCCATCCAGATGATGGGCCTGATTCTGTGACACAAAAAGTAAATTGAACTTTCCAGTTTTTGTGAAAGCAGAACTTTTACTAACTCCGATGCTAAATTGGATGAAACGTAGCAACCGAAGGATTACTATAAAAGTTAAAGTAGAAAATTTAGCTACTTTGTTTCATTTAGCTTTGTTCTTTGGGGTTGTGCCTGGGTGTATTTGTGTGTGTTTTCTGGTTAATGAATGAAAAATGAGTTTTCTTGGGAGTAATGGAGTTTGTGTATCCGGCGTGAGTCGACTGCGGTGTAGGGTCCCAGCCGGACGGAAGTATCCCGATAAAATCCACGCGGCTTTATTTTCAGCCCAAGAAAGGCCCTTATGAGCTTTTTCTTTTGAGGTGGAATTTTTCATAACCTTTAAGGGTATAGGGTTTTATCTTCTTTTCATGGTTTTTTGAAGTAGTGTTGTTTTAGTTTGTATGTTTGGAAGAAAGAGCGATTTCCTTTTACAGCAAAAGAACTTTCCGTCACAGTCCTCTTTAATTTTATCCAATACGCAACACTGTATAGGATTTATGTAGAATGTTGTCTTTACGTACCATTCTCCATTATTGCCTATAGAGACCCAAGTATGCAAAATGCGTATAAGAGCTTTATGATGCGGTCTTCGCGTGCACGCGTTCCTTTGTGTTCTGCGTGTGTGGTGCGGACTCACAGACATTGTTTTCCAGTGTTTTGCGCACTGTCAGTGAAATTACATGTGATGCCAACGCCGGCCCGGAGTACCGGTAACGTGTTGAATTCACCTGACTTAGGAAATGGGTTTTCTCAATTAAGACGTCATCCGGTGTTGTAGTCAAAACCAATTAAGACCTTAACAAGACAATAAATACCTGTTTTTCATACGAAGTGTGAACATTTCTTTGTTCTCCTGTGGTCAAGGAAACCTGAAGAAAATGTTCCTTTTTCTCCAATTAGAAAACTCCTTCGAGCTGGATTTTTTATGATGAGTTCCGAAATGTTCCTCTTCATTTAACCTTGACCCAAAAATGTCTTTAAAACCGTTTTTCAGAGAGAGGGGAAAAACATTGTGTGGACGTGTGCGAGTCCACACAACGCCATCACACCGAACATCATGTGGACTTCTTTTGTGCAGAGCTCCACACTATGTATGCCACGCCTGCACACACAAGACCTCCAGTCTGAATTCCCGTCACAGGCCATTCAAATGAACTGCAACAAAAGGATTCCTTTGTCATTGTTTACACTGTTGCTTGTGGCTGGTCTTGTGCGTGGTCTTGTGTCTGGTCCTAGCCTGTGTCTGGTCTTTTGATGGTCAAACGTTGTGGTGTTTATCTTTCAAGCAAATACGTGTTGATGCGTTGATAGATTTAGAAACGACACAAGCCACAAAAACAAGTTATCGAGTATTCACTCTTTCTGAACATTGAAACACAATTAGTTCCCACAAGGTGTTTATTTTAAACGGTTACATGTTTACAATTAACACAAAGACCCTTTGTAAGGGCGTTTGATTTGAAGGTGATAATGTCCATAAGTTGTTTGCATTCTTTCAGTGGTATACCCAGACTTTTGGTAAAAATGTAAAATTGGTTTAATTGAGGTAAAAATCAAACTGTCCGTTCTAAAAGGAACTGTAGTTTCCTCCCGTACATTCCTTGCAACTCCTCCCCAAGATGGTGGCTCAAAGTTCAAATAGCAAAAATTTGTCTGGGTCAAGTTCTCCTGCCCCCTCTGAATATTTCACTACCTTCCCTCTATAAAATGCAACGGTTTCTCACTAAAGACAATATTTGTATTGTTTTATATTTTTTTTATATGTTTGTTTGATTCTTTCTTGCCGTAAAACTGCTGTTTCCCTTGTTATATGTGTGCAATAATATATTTGTAACGACACAGAAGATCAAAACGTATGGTGTTCGCGCGTCTGGTTTCCCATCCACCATTGTTCTTGGCTCTGAGGTCTGAACTACACACTTTTAAATTCGAGAAATCGCATCATGAAGCGAATATGAATCTCCAGAGTCAATAATGGAGCATGAAACGCAAACAAAATGTTCATAGATTCTATACAGTATTGCATATTTGGTAATAAGATGACCATGAAGGGCATTTTGTAACTGGAATGTAGGGGGGGATCACCGGATGCCTCCATATAGGGTCAAATAGGAAAAATAAAACACCCTGCCCCATAATCAGAAAACAGTTCCAGCTACACGCACGAACATCCTGCAAGAACTCCGCATTTTATATTAAACCAAAGTAGTTACATTTTTTACTTTTACTTTCGTAATTGCACTTTTGCTGAAGACCTGCATTATATTATTGGATTCTCATCCAATTAAGCATCGGTATAAAAGCAGCAAAATTCAATTTACTTGTCGTGTCCTGGAGCCAGGCCTGTCACCTGGATGGATAGCAGATGGTAGGCAACAGTTTCTGATTTGATAAGAATAAAATCGACAACCTGTTGTAAACATACTTTGTCACATTTTGTGGGTAATTTTCTTCCCTTTTGATCTATCTGTACAAAGCTGTGTTACCCGAGGTCTTATTGATACTGCGTTGCCTCAAGCTTGCTGATTTCCATCCTGAAAGTTTACATTTCCATATTTGGAGAAAGATACATTGGAATAGTGAGTAAAAAATCAAGAATTGCACTATTAAATGCACATATGTCTTTGTCTTGTAAAGGCAAATACCAATTCAAGAGTCGTAAATTCAGCCTATACAATGTTCAACTTATCACCTATACAAACCAAAGTATTTTCGGAAAATATAGATAAAAAAGAATAAAAACAAAGAGAACAATTAAGAATGACAAAACAAGAAAAACCCAAAATAAGTGGTATTTATATGTACAAAAAATACAAGCCCTTGA